AGTATAGTTTTAGCTTCAACTCACAGGATTTTCAGTTGCACATGATGTTTAATTTGTGCTTTGATCTATTCTATACACTATACATGCTTTAGAACTATACATACTGGAAGCATTTATTAATTGATATTATTGGGTGCATTCTTCTCTATATATGCACATACAACATTTTTTTAAAAGTACCATATTCCCATCCTTTATAGAGAATATGTATTCAGAGTAACTACTTGATACAGTACATAATTAGTCTTGATGTATTTCAGAGAGCATTTGAAGTCATACTAAATATGTTTTGAAATCAAAATTTTTATCAGCCACAAAACCAAACTAGAAGATATTCAGTAGGAAAATGATTCCACCATGTCATGATGTATGAGAGAGTTAAATATTTCCAAAGTGATACTTATGGTATGCAACATTCTTCAACATTATATTTCTATAAATTTTATAGAATATGTTTCAATCTTCATCCTCATTTTATCTGTGTTTTAATAACATAACATTTTCATTCAGAATATTTTAATATTCCATGAATGTTGAATATGCCATTTGGGCCATTTATAGTAATCCTAAAAGGATTCATGCCATCTCTTCTATTGTGATATAATACTAATGTTATCACCTCTGTAAAAATGCCTATGACACCCTCTTGAAATGTAGATATTATTGCTTGTTAAATCCCTTATTCTGTGTGCATATCATCCTTGTAGTTGTGTGGTACAGACTTAAATTCTGCCATACTGTGTCTCTACCCTCATCTCTGCATTTTAGGAGAATGGTGATTAAATCCTAGGAAATGAATTGTGCTTTGCTATAAGCATATGGTACAACAAAGACATCTCTCCAAAGGTTTCAAAGAGTTGACTTTAATCCTTGTCCATGTTAAATTTCATGATGGAGATGGAAATTAGAAGCTGTAGCGTAGGGGAAAGGGTTTTTCTTGAGAAAATAATGCTTTCAATGGGAACAGACAAATAAATGAATGTAGTCAGTTGTGGTGGTGCCTCTGTGTTATTCCAGATACGTAGTGGGTAACGATAGGTGTATTGAATTTTTGAGGCACTCTGAGGCAAATTGTTGATATTCTGTCCCATAATAACAAATAAGAATATCTGGGGACATAGAACACTGATAGAGCACATCTTGGTTTAATTCCTAGCAATGCAAAACAAAAAGATGAATAAGAATAAAATAAAAGGAAAATGAATTAGAGTGTATTTCAAGCAGAAAATGTGTTTTCCAACCAGGCAATAGCACTCAGTATAACAATTGAAGGAAGATTTTTTTATCCTTGGTGCTCTCTACAAGACTTTTTCATGTTTCTAGATGGATGAATTGAATATAACATAAAGTGAGAATGCTTCCACAGTACGTGCTCCTACCTGTGTCGTTGGTGATTTCATTGTCTGCACAAGGGGTGCAATCAAAACAGCAGGCAGCCTTTCCCTCCTGAGGGCTTTTTCTAAAGCCAGGATTGCAACTCTCACTGCATACTGAATGGGGAGGCTAAGGAAAAAATATATGGTGGGAACATCTTAGACTTTTACTTACTTCTTCAAAGTGAGAGAGATAACCGTAATTTGTATGCATACATAAACAAAGGTATATAATTGAATGTAAAATTTATTTCATAACATGAAATATATATTTACAAAAATATAATTAAGTGCATTACTTTCCCACTCATCAGAAAAGTTCCTAACGATTTTTTAATTGCAAACTTATTATTGCTATTCTCTATACAAATGTGACCATTATATGACCAAAACTGGAGGCAGAAAACCTATGACAGTGTTTAGCTCACTTGTGGTTAAGTAAGTGTGCCATGATAGGTACAACATACCTCCATAGTTCCTGTGGCCCACTCTATCAGATCCTCAGATAAAGTCATTCTGTGGCCATGTGGAGCATGTGAAGAAAATGTCCCTACTTTAACCTTTAGTCTAAGGCCTTCTGGAAAATTCCAAAAATTGAGAATGTCATACTCTGAATCCAGTTTCCTTCTGTCATCCAAGTTCACTTGGTCTCCAGCAGGATTGTGAAATTGGATGTTCTTCAGAAAGCGATGCAGCTGAGAGAGACACATTGTCCTATGTGAACAAGGCTCTAGGGTAATGACAGAAAATATAGTTGGGGGAACATTCCTAAGTGTCATAAATCCCATTTAACTAATGCAACTTTAACACTGGTATCCATTTGGAGCACTTGAATGTCTAAGGAGTAAAGTGTCACCAAGTTCAAGAAATGTCAATCAGTAGGAGAAAAAAAATTTTGTCTGCAAGTCCGTTTAAATAAGGAGTACAGTTGTTGGGTAAAAACATCAACTGTGGAATACAGCTTCTAAAACCCAAACGTCCATTATCTATCTGACTATTCCCATAGCGTCTATCGGCAAAATGAGTTCATCAGTATCTGAAGAGTTTGCAGAATTAAATGAAATCTAAGTGCATGCACTTTTGGGTTTAACACCATTTGGTTCTGTAAGTGACTACAGGTTTTCTCATTGTCCTGTAAGAAAACTGTGGAACATGTTCACATGGCTAAGGCGTTGACCTCTTATACACAGAAACAAGGAGCTGGCCTCCTGCTTCCTCCTCCTTGTCAGTGGCTCCTTGATTGAGAATCATTTTAACTCACCTCAAGGTTTACCTCCTTAACAGTAAGTGCGATAAAAAAAATAAAATACCTTGTATTTTGTAGAAATGGTTGTAATATTCTTGGGTGAAACACATAGAATTGAGAGGGAAATCTTTCAGACACTGCATGCTGTCCAAGAGACTACACATTACCTGCCAGGGGTGAAACAACTTCACTTGTCTATTTCTCATTGGTGGCCTTTGTACTTCTTCAAAAAGCATCGCATGGAGGGCATGGGCCACAGCGTACACAGCGTTGTATATATTGTAGCTCCCATCACTCATGGCTGTGTCAAAACGATTTGGAGGCAACCAAGCCACAGAGGCATTAGGTGTGCAGTTCTTCAAGGCACAGTCAGACTCAGAGAATGAGCAATGAAAGTTCTCCAACCAGTATATAACCAGATAAGTGTCTTCTGGGTATTTGAAAGGGGTAACTTCCTGAACAAAATTTTTGAAAGCTGAAATCTCTTCATGGTGATGAGAAAAAACAAGAATCCCATGGAATGGGTCAAGCATGAAATCTCTCCCAGCCAGGTCAGCATGCCAGTGTGAGTTTGTCACCCAGACTTTCCATGTCACAAAGTTTTGCACTATGTTGTAGTTTACATCCTGTGTACTATCACTATTGTAGTAAATAACTACCACATTGGCTGATGGTGTTTCTGTAGTAAGGATATCATGTTTCTTTGAAAATGAGACATATGACACATCCACAGAT